GGGAAGCGCTCTAGTGAGGGTCCCCCGATTCTCCTGCTCAGCGTGCATGGTGGAACTGCTCGCGATCATGGATCGCGAAATGTCGCTTCCGAATGCAAACAACACTCTTCACTGTCCCAATGTAGTGCTGCAGCCGGTATGGGATTGTGCCTTACTGGAGAGTTTCAGTATTGCGCATAGATGCAAACGCAAGCGGTGTGCGTTTGCGTTAGAGTTGCGTGCCCCACGTTGTGCGTGCGCCTCATCGCCATGCGCCATCCAAGACCGCAATTTCGGGCTCCGCGCACGCGCAGTGTGGAACACGCAAAGCTATCGCAAACACACAGGGCTTGAGTTCGCTCGTATGCGCAATATTAAAACTCACTACTGTTTCACCGGCTTCCAACGCCAACGAAACGTGCTGCAGTGAGCAGACGTGCAAGCAGGTAGGCGTTCCTTCGATCTGGAAAGGCTGAGATTGGCAAAACGACGGCGAGCAAATACAAAAGTAAATAAATGTTATGAAAAACTAGTAATTAAAAAATGTTTTTTTTTTTTTTTACTTTTGGGCATTTGGTCTGGAAGTATATTGGCGGCGACTTTGGACGTTTCGCCGATTGTCAAAAGTCGCGACTTTGAAAGCACAATATACTTTACCCACAGTAATTTTACATGGATTTCTCACATTAGCTAGAATGTTTTCATTGATTTTAGACTATTTTTATTTTATTTGTAATTAAAATGCAGCAATTGGGACCAGTGATGATAATTAGCACAGTCTTCATTGTTATATTTCTTCGCGCGTTAAAAACATAGATCATGTGCAACAAATTATATTAAAGCTTGAATAATTACTTATTCAAATATGTGAATTTTAATATTATTATTAAAATACAAATCGCGGCAATGTATGCCTCTAATTAACGACAAGATCACGAGAATACTCTATTAAACCATAATAGTCTTTCTAGAAAGGTATAATTCTGTTTTATTTTTAGCATATGAAAAACTCTGACATAGTTATCAAGATAGACGAACAGTTAAACGCTGGATGTAATATGAAGTCCTACGCGTCACGCGGTGCTATAAAAACACACACACACACTTCAGCTGTCTGACTTGGATTTTGTCTTGGGCTGTTGCAGTGAGAGCAGCGTTTATTAGTTTACGCGTTTCGTGGACATATTGTAAAAATTGGAATTATTCTCTTATTTTTGTGCTGGGATAATTGTCACTACTTCCCATGACAATTATCTGAGCGAGAAAAAGGCAGCGAGAATGCACAGATATCAGCACTGATTTTTTCAACAACGACGAATATCAGCCTGGATCGAACAGTATGTCACAAAATAAAGTTTCCGCGAACAACTTTTCTAAGTAAATAATTACGATGTGAGACACATCTTGACTCATGAAAGAATCCGAAATTAAGACGTATAACGAGAAATTAAATCCAAAATAGAGGTTAGTTTCGGTTTCGCTCCAGAATTAAAACGCGCATCCTTCCGTAATTAATACGCTAAACACCGTTCTTGTTTTCAGGTTAAAGAGGTGACCTACGCTCATAAAACATTAGCTTCCTCGAATTGCCAGGAATAATTTATGTCGCTCAGTGAAGCCAGCACACTAGACAGGCTCAACAGCGGCACGCATCTCTGACCCTCACTAAACCCGCCATCTTGGAAAATGAGTGGCGCCACCTATACGCTCCGTGCGGGAACTATAGGGGGCGCTTTGAAAAACGCGCGCAGCGCCGCAAGCGGAGGAGCTGGCGTTCGACAGTGAGGCGCGTTCAGCAGCCTGCGGCGCCTTTTCGCATGCCAATCTGTGGCGGCGGAAGCGCGCACGGACGAAACTTTTGCTTTTTGAGCCGATACTTTGAGGGTGACGTTGCATGAGTGCTGGGGCAGAAGGGCATTTAGCTGTTCTCCACTTCTTATATATTGAGTTTGAGTCGTTATTAGGGGTAATTTTTCTAGTTGCGGCCGAAAAAGGAGTTGGAGCAATTTTCCGAAAAACAAGATGGCCGCCACCATAATTGCTCTGTGTGGGAAATTTATTTCGCTCGTCGCTGTAAACGTAGGACCGTTGGAACGATTATATTTGGAGGCGAGTGAGATGTTCACAAAGTTTCTGCACGAGGTGTGCCAAGTTTCATTAAGACAGCAGGTGTGAAAGTTATGTTTCCAACGAATAAAGCTGTACTGGATATCCAATATTGGACACAAAATGTTGTGTTATAGCGGGCTGTGCAAATGGAAGATTTGGGCACACAGGTGCTTGAACTTGACAGTAACATGACACAGCACTTAATATGCCAAAAAGAGGTGGCATAGGAAAACCAGGTCGAAATTTGGTTTGGGCGGCGTAACTCAATGGGAACCGGTTTTGATCATGAAAGGGCTGTCAACAAAATACCACTGGTCGTGGGAGGTGGAGACTTTTTAGGCAGGAAGGGAATAGTGGACTGTACTTCCAATTGAAACAAATTTACGAAAGGTGGTTCCAAAGCCGAGAAAAAAAAGTTGCCGGCCAACACACGGTCTGGCCGTCAAGGGCTTTGCGGTCAGCTGAGGTGCTGATTTTCGGCGCACAGGTACTTTGACATGACCGTAACTTGACACAACACTTATTATACCCAAAAGAGTTGGCATAGCGAAACCAGGTGGAAATTTAGTTTGGCGGCGTAACTAAGTGGGAACTGGTTTTGACCGTCAAAGGCTATCAAGATAATACCACTCATCATCGGAGCTGCACACTTTACAGGTGGGGAGGGACCAGTGAACGGTACTTCCAGTTCGAACCACTTCGCGGTAGGTGGCTCTAAAGCCGAGAAAAAAAATGTTGTCTACAGAACTCGGGGTGTCAGCGTTTCCACATCCTAAAGGAGGCTGATCAAGAAAGAGAGCACACCACATAAACCTCAATACTCAAACGTCGATTCTCCATGATTCCGAGCTTCACTGTTGTTTCTTTAGATTTATATTTGTCACTTTTTTTTACCGTTCTAACCTTTCTACATGAAGTACAGATTGCGTGCCATACTTGTCCAGAAATATCATCGACACGTACAATGGGAACAAAACTTTTTTGGAGGGCATTCCTCCAACGAAATTGGCAATGCATACCCGCGAGTGTGGGATGGCATTTCAGTTCGTCCCATCGGCGCTCACACATGTAGGCGTCACTGGCACGAAAACAAACGCAGAGCACAAAGCGGCAGTCTAGAATATCTCAGGCGTGCCGACACAATGGGAGTCATGATCGGGAGACCAAATTTCTCGCGTCGTACGGCACGGGTCCATCGTTGCCGCTCTCCCACAAAACATCCGAGAGGTGAAAAACTGTGAAACTTTGTCCCCACGAGATAAGACGCATAACTATTGAAGCACTCAATGACGCAGCACAGGCAGCACTTCATGCTGTGAACCCAGAGCAACTGCACCACTCCGACTTCAATGCGTACCAACGTACGCGGCGCGGTTTCGGTTTCGTTTTCTCTCGAGTTCTCACTGCCTACCTTCGGTACCGGCCACGCGGCGGCGCGCCAGTCGCGTCGCACGGAGTGTATAGTTAGTTGGAGTCGCGAATACTACATCAAAGCTGACAGTGCAGTTGAAGCTACGTCCTGGTTGGACGAGTCAGACGCCTCTCTTTCGCCATGTGATTACGCTCCCGCCTATATCCACGCGCAGAAAACTGGGTCAGGTGATGAAAAGGACAGCGGTTGATTGGACTGGTAAGAGCGTTGCTTCCACCGTACAGTCAGCTTATGGGTGAACGGGGTATAGAGATTGCTGAACTTTCGGGGATATTTCGGCATATATAAAACGAGTTTAGGAATTCATGCAATATTGCTTAGAAAGATGCACTATATATAAATGATAACTGCACTGCATTGTGGATTGAAAGTATTTCCAACCTAGTAAAGACTCGCTTAGTTCCCGCAGCTTTATGTTAAAACGAAAATAATTTCGGGCTTGAGAACGAACCAAGTCCAACTTCAATACGTACGCACGGCTAGTATGAGTTTCTGTTCTCACTGGAGGACTCCTTTTCATCTTAGAAGTGCAAACCCTGTCAATGTAACCTACCTTTTACCAACTCCAAACAAGTGTTATAGATATACAATGTAACCAAAAAAACAATATTTCCATGGTTTAGAACCTTCCCACAGTGAAAACGGGTCTTCCTTCTTTGTAATTTGAACCGGTGTTCGTTGCCACTTGTGGAACGCTTAATCTCGTTCGTTAACATGACTTCTTTCCGAAATTGGGAGCGGCTGATTGAAAGCTATTTAATATGTTACTTTTCATGAAAGGTAGCCTAGAGCAGCAGCAGAAGTTGTAGGTTCAATTTTGTTTTGCATTGCTTCCAGATTAAAAGAAATAAAATGCAGCAAAATTTATCTCTTAGCAAAAGTAATTTTTGCCAGTATTACAATAGTTCCCATCACAAAAATATATATATTTTTAAGAAATATGTGAGCATTACTGTTCCGCCAAAACGTATTCCTGTATTTGTATTTCCATAAATGTTTCTCTTTTTCAAATGTAATTCTGCTACGTATCGCGATAATTTTGTACGGATCTATATCAGTATCTGTATTCTAGCTGTCTTCATCAAGCATCCCAGTATTCGTGTATCAAACTAAATTTAGTGAATCTCTCCCAACACTGATTAGAACTTCACACGAAATTTCTGCTTCTGTCAACATCGTTTCAGTTTTCGCGATTTTAACTCACTTGGCGTAAACTTAAGCGAGACGTCGGGTCACTCTTGTAGGCATAGCTGCCATATCGCTTTTAAACCTCTTCTGTCGGATTGTATGCGTGGATTTAGGTATGTTGTTATGAGTGTATAACTGTTTGTGAGCCTGCTATATATTCTACATAAGTGTCTCATACGAAGACTGGTGATTTTGAGGCACGAAGAAAAAAAAGTAACGGTGATGACATATGAGCGTACAGGAGAACCACAACAAAAAGAAAAACTAATAGCAGAATGCATACTGTATTTAAAACGTGAAGCAAGTTTAATGCAGGTCGCTTCATTGCTGGGATATGCGTGTTGCCTCAAACTCTTCTTTGATGCTTTTCAGCAACTCCGGATCTCTGATCACTTCCAAGGCAGTCAGCGCGAGCGCCTTAGCTGCAGTCAGAGTGCGATCGAGGGAGTCCGGACTCCCAGCAACTTTCGTGAACTCGGGCGTATGATTGACAGCTCTGGTGTCCAGCCTGAAGGTCGGATGGATCAGCGGCACCACGTACGAAACGCTCCCTGCGTCCGTGGAAGCTCCCAGCAGAGGGTACTTGCTGAGGTCAGGAAATCGCATTCCTGTAAAAACAAATGAATGATGGCGGTTCTTTGTTTTTTACTCACGATCAACTGAATAAAAACGAAATAAGAGCAATTAAATTCTGTTTAGTATTTCCTGAATATAGGCAGTAACACAAGCTTCTTCTCTACATAATAACCGCAGAGATTTATGCTGTTATTATGATGTGGCACACGCTTCTCGATGTTTTACATCAATAATGTTGCTGCCTAGGATCTCAGTCATTCCATAAGAAGCTCAAAATGTATGTCAGCCCCCCAGTCGTTCTTCTTTAACTCCAATCCTCAAGGGTGTCTATTCATTTTCCCCGAAACGTCATGCACCCAGGCAGCAGCCTTCTTGAGGCAGGACATCCAGAAGATTGTGCGACGTCCTAGTAACTGCACAAATCTCCTCCCCATCATCTAACCGGAGACGACGAACAACAAGGAGGACAAGGGAAAAACAGGCACCCCTCAAAAGCAGCTGAATAGATTTTATTATATATCGTGCTTTATATGTAGCTTCCAACACGACCACCACCGAGTTTGGGCACGTGCACACGACCAGCGCCATGCCTCCATAACACAGCCAAATAGTACACTCCCGTATACCGCTGCATCCCGCATGAACTTTGCCGAGTTTGCAAATGTTCTCACACCCATCGCACACCCCGTTAATAGACCCAAAGGTACATGGCTCAGACTTCTATAAAAAAAAAAAAAAGAACGTGTACGAATTGCACTGGCAAACCATTTTTGCACTCTCCTACGTGCCTTGCAGTTTCGGAGTTTGTTGTATTATTCTTGACTGCCCTCATGTGCTAGAGTAATCTTTCATACAAACAGCGCTTTGTCTGTCCGACGTCTGAGAACCCACACGTCATTCGAGTGTCAGACAACACCAGACTTTCATTTTATGGGGGCTGCCCCTTTCGCGTTCAAGTAACCTTGAATTCCCGCCAAAAGGGTGTTAGCCTGTTTAACTTGTAGCCTGTAGGTTCCATTACCCGAAACCTATTCCCGGTCCAAGATTAAAAAAAATAAATATGTTAACACTTGGGGACCAGGACAGACAGCACAGTTCTTTCAAATAGCGACGAACACTTACTGATATCTCCTTCAATAAGTAGAATCTCCTTCCCATCTTCTTCAACTGAAGAAGAAGGTTCAAGAAAAAACACAAAAAATAAGACAATTTCTCAAAATAAAAGCACGATAAACTAAAAGAAAAGAAAAAAAAAGGAGGACGAAGAAAAAAGGAGAAAACATTGACAAAATCAGGCAGATTGGCTAGCACATAGACTAATTAAGTTCTGCATTCAAGTAGTTCGTCTCAACTTTGGGCTACCCAAGAGACGGACAAGCAGTAATCTGTTCGTCACCGCAGCTATTTCAGTCACCGCAGCTAATTCAGTTCTGGTTTCAAGTAGTTCATCTCAATTCTGGAAAATCCAAGAGAAGGAGCAGCTATTTTATGTTCGTCACCAACTCTCCTGTAGGCTTCAATAGTCTCTCGGACTTATTTGTTCTTGTTTTTCGCAATTGTGGTGTTGTCCAGAAAACGAGTTTCGCAGTTCGTGCATAGGCGCTTATGCACCACAAGTGGATGATAAGATTCGCTTGAAGCGTGGGAAACCTCGAGAATGTGCTGTCTTAAGTGAGCGTTCTGGCAACGCCATATCTCACCAATGTATCGGTCACCACATAAAAAGGGGATCGAGTATACCACCCGCTCTTCTCAGGGAACTGTCCGATTTGCAAGTTTGATGGCATATCGTTTGGGGGCTCCGATCCCAAAAAAACAGTTTTTCCATGTTGGAGTTTCCATTTCAAACTGGCCAAACATGCAATTATTTGGTTCCTCCTTCATTTTTTTTCCGCTCCCAATCCTATTTTCACTTTGTTGGCTTAAACACTGCAAAACAACAAGAAAGTCTTCTAAAAGCTGGATCTCCGCAAGGCCTACTGAGCACCCTTCTTGGTCAGTTAATTTCTGGATAACCAAAGGCCCCGTGCTCCACGTAGTAAAGCTTCATCTGTCATCTCCATACCATATGGGCAGAACTCTGCCCACAGACTGAAGGGAATAGCAGCGTGCGTCAAGACTTCAGTTGTCTTCTCCTGTAAGTTGCGCCTAAAACAACTTCGCAGAAGAGTTAACAACAACGAACGCCCAAAGGATGTTGCATCAGACATGCCAATCAGACCGTTCTCTGTGAAGAGCGGGTAGTATACTCGATCCTCCCCTTCATGAGGTGACCAGTACATTGGTCAGACGGAGCGTTGCCTGAACACCCACTTAAGAAATCACATCCTCGAGGTTTTCCGTGCTTCAAGCGAATCTTATCACCCAATTTTGTTTTATAAACGCCTCTGCACGAACTGTGAAACTCGTTTCCTGGACACCAGCAAAATTGGGGAAAACAAAAAAACGCTTGGCCGAGAGATCATTGAAGCCTACATGATAGCTGGTGACGAACACAAAATAGCTGCTCCTTCTCTTGGGTTTTTGCAAGGTTGAGATGAACTACTTTAAGCCAGAACTGAATTAGTCAATCACTTATCTGTCTGAATTAGGCAATGTTTTTTGCTGTTTTTATTTTCTTCCTCCTTTTTTCAATTTTTTTTATTTCTGGTTTATCATTCTTTTATTTGGAGGATTTTCTTTGTTTTTCGTTTTTTTTATATATATCTCCCTCAGTTTAATAGGTCGGGAGGGCGATGGTACGTACTGAAAAAGACGTCACTAAATGACCGTTGCTAGTTGAAAGAACTGTGCTGTGTGTCCTTGTTCTTAAGTGTTTTTCTCCTTTTTTTGAATCTTGTATTTTCACCAACCCACTCTTTGTTCATTGTATCTTATATGTTTTAGATTTTTATGTCTTGTCCATGTTCCACCTTTAAGGCGTCTGAATTCGACCTGGTCAGGTATCTTCAAGCAGCGAGCTTCTACTCAAGAAGGGCCCTTTTTCGCCTCAGGCCAGGTTCCTTTGGGCCTCGCTTCGCCAAAGGCAACCCCCACCCCAGATTGGAAGCTATGCTGGGTTTCTGTTTCCAAAACTAGGCTTCCAACTACAGATTTATGCAGATTTCAAGGAAGGAGGTATCACAAGATCTACGTCTAACGGAGACGACCCTGCCGCAACATATGGCCATTATATTTGATGCAGCGTATGGAACCCACCCATCTTTCCGGTTCCTCCAAAAAGCGGCATCCAATCTTCTCGAATCTTCACGGGAGAATGTTGTCAAAAGTGTTACCAGGTCTCACCATTAGACCCTCCAAGCAAAACTTCAGTTTCCGGTCGTTCCATGCGACCATCAACCCAGTACTGGAACCATTGAATTTCCTTTCCAAGGGTCCCAAGTATTCTCCACACACCCCAACTACAAGGGTCTACCAACTGACTTCAGTTCATTGTGTTGCGACTCACATCCCAGAACAAGACCAGCAAGAATTTCTTGATGCTGGAGTCCAATTCGCCTGCTTCCATTCTCCTTCACATACAGACAAAGTTCCGATCCGGCTACAGCTGAAGAATGGCAAAACATGTCACCTGAAACTACTGGATTTAAATAAAACCAGTGTTTTTCTCATCTTAGATTGAAGGATCCTATGAACAAAATGTGAGCCCGGCCTTAAAAATCATTTTGATACTCTTAAGACTAGGCCTTCAGGTTCTCTACGCTCAAAGACAAAGAAACGTTGCATCTCCCTAAACGTCACAGCTCTTAAAGCTGCTATTGGGGCTCGTTCCAAGCAGTATCTAAGTGTGCTTTTTACGGCTAAAACACATAAAGAAGGTGTCCCCCTAAGAAGCATAATTTCAGGAAAGGGATGCAGCCACAAGCCTCTTGCTCCTTTTCTACAAAAGCATCTGTATTCGATCAGTGTAAATCAACCTTTTCGAGTTGCCAACTTTACAGAACTAATCTCTCGTCTCCATGAACTTCATTCTACTCCCGAGGCCTGTACCATGTTTTCGTTGGATATTGAGGAAATACATTACCGATTAGATCCCTCCGTCCTAATGAATTCTGTATCAAGGGCAATTCACGAACATGGCCCGCGCGAACTTCAGAACTCATATGGTGTATCTGAATGGGGCTTCCTAGACATTTGGCCCTCTATCTATAATCTACACTCGTGGAATATGACAAGGAAATTCTCGGGCAAAAGAAAAGTGTTTAAATTGGCTCCTGCCTCGAACCGGTTCTCAGTGTTGTTTTTCTCCTGTATGTTGACCGGGAAATAAAAAGCACGTTTCGTTTCTTCTTATTCGGTACTTCGCGCCGTAACCTCTTCCTGAGGCCTGAAATCCACAAGGAAATAAAGCTCAGGCGACGGTCTCCGGTCTTAGATATTCTCCATCTTTTTTGGCCCGGTATTTGTTGAGCATTTTAACAACGGTTCCTAAAACACAGTTCTTACATTTTGCTTCTCCTATTTTAAACTGGTCAAACATGGAATTATTCGTTCCTCCTTTTATCTTCTCGCACCAAAGCCTGTTTCCACTTTTTTGGCTTAAGCATTCCAAAACAACATCAATGACTTCGCAAAGTTGTTCTATTCTTGCTCAGCTAATTTAGCTCCTGAAGGGCCCCATGCTCCACGTAGTGAAGTTTCACCTGTCATCTCCATACCATATGTGAGCAACTTATGGTGACCACCCGTCCCGCGACTCGCGGGACTGTCCCGCATTGAAGGCTCGTGTCCCGCGTCCCGTGAGAAATTCTCAAGTCTTCAAAATGTCCCGCAGTTCACACTGTGGTAAAATTCACTCTGCAACTCATGGTGCTGCCGAACAACGGGGAAGCGCGGATGTCACTGGTAATCGTGCGAATCGCAATGGTACGCCATTTTCTATCCAAGCATTGCGGGAAGCGATTGTCGTTCTGCAGGAGGACCGACGAGCATGCGCCGTTGTGCCTCTTCCTTTAGTGGCAAAATATTGTAAAAGAAAATTGCTCGGTTATTGCCATTATTTTCATATCGCTGTTTTAACGCAAAAGGTTTG